GTATTTTACTCTTCTTGCTCTTCAAGCTTCGCTACCCTCCTTCTGTATCTTCGCTACCCCTACAATTCACCCCCAGTCGCCAATGTGCAACTTGGCGGAAAGATATTGCAGCTAAATACTCGGTTCTTTGATGCGGCCCGACAGCAACCCCCTCCTCACTCGCTGGCCAGATAATTAACATTAAAGGTTAATTCCGTGAGGGTGGTAAGGGGGGGGGGCGGGCAAGGGGAGGAAAGGTGTAGAGGGGGGGACTGTAAGTCTTGCCGTAGGCGAAAGAGCCGCAAATCGCCATACGGATTCGATATGTATATTTGGCTAAAAGTTAAAATCATGGCTGTTTTGTATCTTAAATAATTTTGTAACTTTAAAGGTAGCGGATGGCCAAGGGGGGATGCAAAACGGTGGTCAAGGGATAGCGTGGAATAAAAGTGAGGAATTTTTGAGCGAAACGTAGAAGTCGACTCGTTAAATGCACAAGGGTCCGGCAGCCGTGACACGAGGCGTGTAAAAACGTATAAATTGCGCGTAAATAATTATATTTGCATATTCATTGAAAAGTAAATATTTAATGCCGACAGGGTATAAAGGGGAGGCGTGAAGTGTAACGTATAGGTATGTACCAACCCTTATATATACAGCAACGAAGTGAAAGACGAAAGAGGGTAAAACGAGGCGAAAGAGTAGAAGTGAAGAGAAAGAGGGAGGATGACTGGTCGGCCGGACCGTGTCTGACCTGCGGGTATGGGCTGTGTATAGATATACGGGCGTCGGCGTCGGCGGTACCAACGACGTCCCTCGGAAAATTTAACCTTAATTTTACTTAACTACGCCACGGACTTCTCTACTGTTACCTATCCACCTACCCTAACTACCTGACATCACTGTCTCTCTCGGACAAGGGTGTTACTTTTTAATTCCACACTCCACGGGGTAATAAGGGTTGCTACCACGCCGAAGCCTTTCCAACCGACAAAAGAGCGTTTTACTGGTTTGTAAAAGAAAGTGAAAAAAAAAAAATCTTGAAATAATGTTTTTTTACCTGAAAAACAATCTTTTTTTTTTCATTCTAATCGCGTATCACAGGGTGTACAAAATGTATTCTATCAAAATGTCTTGAAGGAGAAAACTACCCCCTAGTGAATTATGCTGAACTACGTAGATGGTTATAGATAGGTATAGACATATTGGCGAATATATATATATATATGTACGCAGGGTAGTCCAAGAGAGTGCACGGGAAAGTATATACCGGGTGTGCATATTACATCGATCAGGGTTTGACGGTAAGGGTGGCTCACGGGGATGATGCCACCTATTACCAGCCGGAACACCTGAGCCCTCAGTTCAGCGTTTCCTCGCTCGCTCAGCAGCAAGTGTACGGAAACGAGCACGCACTCGAGGAAATGGCCGCGCACCGCAGAGGCAAATTGCACGGCTGGGTTATCCGCCTAAATTATTCCCCGACTAACCACAAAAATATCGTCCTCGTAGGTTCACGTATCCCGGTGATTCGTTCGTATCGTAGAACCCAGTCAGCTACCCCCGAGGAAAACTTCCCGGTGAAACTTCCGGTGGAAGTCTTTTGCGGTCATGATACATCCGTAACATCCGGTTCGATAAAAGATGGATGATCTTCGTAAGGCGCGTTCTCAATCGTGATCGCTCTCCTTTCTGACGCGATGGAAGATGAAATGCACCCTTGATACACCCTCCCCGCGACCTTCCCACCCTTATAGACACTCATCGCCACCCTGGCCAGTTTTTTTTTTTTTTTTTTTTTTTTTTCGGGTTCGAAAACCATCATA